CGTACGGTAAACTTGTCATAACTTATCCCTATATGACTACCCTCACAATGGGGAGCATGAACGTGTAAACTGTGCCTATTTGAGGCAGAACACCCACACAATGGGGATCCTGCGCCTATCTGAGGCGAAAACACCCACACAATGGGGATCCTGTACCGCGTGGGTATCTAGCTAAGTGAGGGTTAAACGTGTTATTGCTTGTTCTTACTTATTATCTGGGTGATTTATCCTTGCTCGTTCGAATTAATCTCTCACACCATGGAGAGACGTATCCAACATATACTTGCTTACTTACTTGACAACCAAAGCTTGTCAAGGATGATCTCCTCCAACAGAAGGAGATCTAAACTTATAATTTCCATATTAGTATGATTTCTCCGTAGAGAAATAGATGCTATGCATACACATGAACTTAAGAATGCACATAATCATCAAATCATAAATGCAGAACTTAAACATATACGAACTAGCACTCAATTAATTCAAGAAAAGACACAATTCAGCACGTAATAAGTAATCGAGGATGAAATACTAACTAGCCCCTTTAACCAACGCACCTTAGTTTACGGTTCAACTCCCTGATCAATGTGAACCTCCTACTTGAAGTGACCGCGAAAGCTCGCCGTTGATGAGATTCCCAGAGCTACGCGTGAGTGCCCAAAATATTAGTCAATTAAACCTCACGCTTAGAGCCTACAACTCGACCAACTCCTTAATTAACCCAGTTAGTTATGATTTCCCTTTTAAAGTCCCTCCTGAGTCCTGATGCCAAGCTTCCATATTACGTGTAAAGGGTACTTGCATGAACTCCCAGTTTACGGCTCAAGTTAGGGTGCATAACAATGGGTTATGCACCTATCAATAACCAAATCTGGATCCTTCATTTAGAAAATACAGATCTAAGGATGGAGAATTAAAGGTCATTTTTATTTTCACTAACTTTCTTAATTGACTCATATCTTTTTCGTTTCAACTCGAATTTTAATTTTTTTTGCACAGATGGAACGAGTTCATCATGCTCTACAAAATGAGATCAATTTTTAATATTTTTTGAGGAAAAAAAATTATGGCCTCTCGGTACCAACTACATACCATATGGTATCGTCTTCATTTTTAAATTGTTTTTGAAAACGTTTGCACAGCAGGGACGAGTTCATCATGATCTATTGGATCTACAAATTTCTGGGTGAACAAATTCACTACAAGAAACTGCACTTTCTGCGACGAATTCTATAGCGACGATAAGAAATTCGCCGCAGAAAGTGTAGAATTTGCGACGAAATTCACTTTTGCGTCGCAAAATGGGTGAAGTTTTTTTGTGACGACTATATGTCGTCGCAGAATGTATGTAGACTTTCTGCGACGGCTCTCTATCGTCGCAGAATGTATGGAGACTTTCTGCGACGATTATCTCTCGACGCAAAATGCATGGAGACTTTCTGCGACGATTATCCCTCGTCGCAAATGCATGGAAATTTTCGGCGACGAATGTAGGTCGTCGCAGAATGTATGGAGATTTTTTGCGACGATTCACTTTCGTCGCACAAATGTATGGAGCCTTTTTGCGACGATTATCTGTCGTTGCAGAATGTATGGAAATTTTCTGCGACGATGTAGGTCGTCGCAGAATGTTCGGGACTTTCTGCGACAATGACCTTTCGTCGCGAAATGTTTAGGGGCTTCTGCAATGAATTTTGTCGTCGCAGAATGTTTGGAGACTTTGTGTGATGTTTTTCCGTCCTCATAAAATTTTTCAAGAAATTTATATTATTAGAACTATAGTTAGTAAATACTCCGTTTAATGCACGTATATGTACTCATGCATATTTTATTTGGTTAAAACTTCAGTATCCATATTATTGTCAAAGAGTTTCATTTTCTCTGGTTTATTTGATAGCTCCCTTACTAAATATGTACAAAACTCATATAATACGTTTAATATATGTATTTAATGAATTAAATTGATATCTTAAATATTTTTATTTTTTTTTAATAATTAATTTTATACATTTATGATTATTCATGTACTATTGAATATGTAACATTAGTTTAGAAACAAAGTAAAATATTTGTACGTATTTTATACGCAACCTACCCTTACCGTATTTTACTAATGGAACTTAATTATTCCAACATATATAAGCTTCTTTCGTTGAATGATGAAATATGATGATGAAATTGATACTCTGAGCAAAATCAAATGTTGAATGATTTTTAAAATGGCTGAATGATTATTAATCTAAACTATTAATTATTCTTTCAACTTAATTCTTATTTGTTTTGTTTGTCTTTTATATCCGTAATAGTATTAGACTGAAAAGCTTCCTTGATAAGTTTGATCTACCATTTAGTGTTCCTTTTTCTTTTTATATTCAATAGACAAAAGCAGGTAATTTCGTACTTTTACCAAAAGGCGGTGGCAGGTGTAGTAATTGTTTCGAACTTTTAAGGGCAAATTATCTTCTTTGGAAGGCTATATATTTACATTTTGGGCTAACACAAACCCTAGCCGGCAGCCGCTCTTTCTCGCCTCTCCTTCCACGATTACCCTATCTCTTTCCTTCCTTACTTTACTCTCCTCTGGTTTTAACGAAAGACGGGGTCAAGACGGCCTCCTGGTTTCCCGATCTGCTTAGCGGCACACTTGAGCAAAGACGGCCGAGAGATGTAGGCGGGGCAGTGGTTCGGCAATCGGCCAAGCGAAGCTTTATTGATCTGCCGTTCTCTCCGTCGCCAACCACCGATTGTAGAAGCCATGATTGGATATTGCTTTTCCCGATACGCCTCTCGATTTGGAAGCCCGATCCTTCGAGACCCATCCTTAGTCGATCTCTCTCAAAGAAACGACAGATCTATCCCGTCTTTTATAGGTGAGATCGTCATATACAGATCTGTTTTCTTTCTATTTCGCTTTTCTTGTTTCAAGGGGGTTCTGACTTTCTTTTATTTTCTTGGTTAATTTTTAACTCCGATGAGGGGATCTGAAAGGGAAGTTCAGAGACGGCAGTGAGATTGTCGGTGGCCGTGAACGACCACCCGCTCTGCCGGCGAAGAACCAGCAGCCACCGCTGAGAGGTATAACACGATTTTTCTTTGGTTATTTTGTTTTTAGTTTTTACAGATTCTGACTTGATTCTTTCTGCAGGTTTGGAATGATGGAGGCTTTGATGATATTCTCTAAAACCCTTGGTTAGGATTAGGGTGTATAAATCTGTGTTTGGACATGGATTTAAAGTTGGAACTGGTACTTGGGCTAATCTCAGGCGAACTTGAGATTTATTTATTTTAATGAGGTGATGAATTGATTTTGACAAGAAGACAAACTTGAAATAACTAAAAAATGAACGAGAAAATAAATACTAAATATATTTAATTGAGACCATAGATAATTATGAATAAACTCCAGAAAAATAAATTGTAAACAACTCCGCAAAAGTATCCCATCCCTTAGCGACGAAGAATCCGTCGCAAATTGTCATTTCGTACTGCGACGATGATTCATCGTCGCCAAATGATCATTTTTGGCGACGACATGCCCGTCGCCAATCATCTACTTTTCAGCGACGAAAGCGATTTTCCGCGACGAACCGGTGATATTTCGTCGCTGAACTTTTTGCGACGCTGTATAGGCGACGAAAGATTGATCTCTTTTGCGACGGTGAAACTCGTCGCGAAAACCTTTTTGCGACGGATTTTAAGCTTTCCGCGACGAATTTTGTCGTCGCAAAAAGTGAAGTTTCTTGTAGTGATTATAAGACCAAAAAATACCAAAAAATACCATACAATACCACCCTGGTACGAGGTGGTATCTTATGGTATACAGTGTTAAAAGTCGTAAATGACAATTAATATACTTCTACTATCATGTATTCAACCATTCTACAGTTTTGGTTTGTGTCATACCACCATGGTACGCTTTTCAAACCATAGGTATGCTCTTATTTCAATACCAGTCAATACCATATGGTATAGACGGGTAAAAAATGGCTCAATTTTTTTTGTTCGAAAAATATATCAAAGTGGATATCATTTTGAAAAGCACAATAATCTGATCTAACTGTGTAAAATTTTTTAAATTTCGACTTAAAACGAGTGAGAAATCATCCGTCAAAGATTAATGAGGGGAAAATTAAAGGTTTTCCAGAAGAGAGAGGATGCTGATGTCATGCTGATGTGGGCAGGTTACTCATAGTTACTCACCATAAGGTTACTGACCTGATCCGTTCCCCAGTTTACTGACATGTGTTAGTAGTTACCATATGGCTAAATGCACATGATTATTCATGACCCACGTCAAATGCCCATCACATTAATATATATACCATTCAGAGACATGGACCAATGTAATAGAAGCTATCCATCAATTGCTTAGTCGTAAAACCTTAAAATCTAAAGCCAACATGTAATTTCCCCTTCAACTCTTCTACGTATTTGCAGGATCTAGCATGATTAATTATAGCCATCAACGCCATTATCGAATTCGAATAGTTAAGGAGATCCTTACCTATAGGACGAGAGAGGCTCATCTGAAGCTACGGGGTCCGGCGAACCGAGGATACGATGCACCGAGGAACTGGTACGGCGTCGGCGTCGCTCCCGTCTCTGCCGATTGTCCTTTCCGTAGGTGGTTTGTGATTTCGCAGAGCTGTGGGATTTCTTCTGGTCGAGGGAAAGGAGTTGAACAAGCGGAGGAGGTATCGGCGATGGGTATGTGGAGTGGTGGCGATGAGTTTAGTCGTGCGAGCAGGAAAGAATGGAATTGCGGGCGGCGCTGCTACCTTGGGTTTTATTAGTTTTTTTAGATTTCGCTAGGTATAGTGTATATATATATATAGAGAGAGAAATCCCCACCTGTTGCCGCACTAGTTTAGGGTTAGATAGATTTAATTAATTAATTAATCATAATAACTAAATGAGGGTAAATTTGGAAATTCATGAAAATTCTAGGTATCGGGTGTGACATCTGTTTTTTTTTTATATAGCAACCTGGTAGACATTTATTAATCAGTTAAGATGGTTACATCATCCAGTTTAAGCTGATCAACCAAGAAATTCGGGGGTCGATCCACCCATACACAGCGTTCATTCCACCTAGTCTCCGACCTTGCCATCAGGTCGGCCGCATTGTTAGCTGTCCGAGGACAGTGCTGCCAGGTCCCATCCTGCATCTCAAGTAAGAGCCGCCTGATATTACGACACACAACGCCCAACTCAGTTTGGTAGTTCCTAGCTTCATGGATTGCAGTGACCAAAGCTAAACAATCGACTCCCAAAATCGGTCTGCCCACATTCAGTTGTAGAGCAATTTGTAGACCGAACTCGGCTGCAAGAGCTTCCACCATCTCAACCTCCCAGACACCTATTATCTTCTTTGCTGTTGCAAAAAGGCACTTTCCTTCAGAATCACGAGCTACTGGTACAAGACCCGCTCCTCCGCCTGCCAACAGCCTCGCATTAAAGTTTTTTTTTATTCTACCAAAGCCCGGTTTAATCCACTTACCCGCTCCGTGGAGCAGCTCTTCATCCTTTCGTCGTTGTAGAAATTGTTGGTATTCTGTGAGGAAACTTCTTGCCCTCGGCACAATCTCATTCTCCTCCATCTTTTTCCCGTTGAACATGTGCGCATTTCTTTCCTTCCATAAGTACCACATCAACGCTGCCCATTCTACAGCTCTAGCCTAATACATCGTCTCCAATACCTTCTTCACCCACTAGAAGCTATCTGCAGTCCCACGCAGAGCAAAACATGGGGCAAGTGCTGAACTCCTCCAAAGGCATGAGGTCCATTCGCATTCACTAAATAAGTGGATTTGCGTTTCTCTGTTCCCACAAAATGCACATTGATCACCCCGCTTGTAACTCTTGCTGCTCAGATGATCACCCGTTGGAAGTATGTCCCGAGCAAACCTCCAAAGGAAGTGTTTTACCTTCGGTGGTGTGTTCAACGTCCATAACTTCTTCCAGACTTCAGAATTACCAACACAAGGGAGGGCACCCTGTGCCATTTTATGTCGTATCCAACTAGCATATCCTTCCTTTACTAGGAATTTACCATCTTTGCTGCCATCCCAAATCAACCGGTCGCACTCTCCCATCCCTCGCAGCGGAATTTGTCTAATGATGGCTTCTGTTTCACTTGAGAAGCAACTCTCTAACAGATTGTCATCCCAAATCTCCTCCTCCGGCATGATCAGTTCGCGCACAGTGGATTCAACGGGTAAGCCCATCGGAGGTGACTCGACGAAACCCGAGGGGCTATCTGGTAGCCACTTATCCCCCCAGACCTGAACACTCGATCCATTACCGATCCTCCATTGAAGCCCACCGTTTAAGAATTCTTGCGCACTGAGCAGACTGCGCCAAATGAAACTTGGCCGGTGACCAATTTCTGGCATCAAGGATCGATGAGTTTTTGTGGTACTTGGCCCTCAGGATTCGTGCAATCAATGAATCTTGACGTTGAAATAGCCACCAAAGCTGTTTGGCCAGTAGTGCTGTGTTGAAACCTTCCAAGTCCCGAACCCAAGACATCCCTCTTCCTTTGCCACCATCATCTCTTCTCGGCTCATCCAGTTATTCTTCGTTCCGATCCTCTCTGTCCCCAATAGAAATTCATGATCATACTATGGACTTCATTGAGGATGCAGTCTGGTACTCGGAACACTGACATGGCATAAGTGAACTGAGCCTGAGCCACCGACTTAATCAAAACCTCCCTTCCCGCTACTGATAAGACTCTTTCCTTCCAACCCTTCAGTTTCTTACGGACTCTCTCCACCAGGCCCTGGAAAATATCTTTTTTTGATCTTCCTACTACCGTGGGCAGCCCAAGATATTTGTCATGTTTTTTCACCTCCTTCATCTTCAAAATACCTCCAACCAGAAGCTTATGGTGGGGTTTTACATTCCCACTGAACGAAACTTCCGATTTATTGAAATTGACTAGTTGACCCGATTCTTCTTCATAGGACTTGAGGATCTGCTTCAAACTCGAGCTATCCTGGTCCGTTGCCCTGCCAAAGAAAACTGCGTCGTTAGCGAAAAAGAGATGTGTCACTGTGGGCCCTCCTTTCTCAGGCTGAAGTCCGTTTAGCTGTTTATTTCTGGCCTCCTCTTGTGTGTAAGCTGAGAGGCCCTCTGCACATAATAAAAACAAGTATGGTGATAGAGGGTCTCCCTGACATAAGCCGCGTCTTGGCTGAAAACTGGGTGATTGGTGCCCGTTAACCAGAACTGAATAGGTTACTGTTCTCACACACATCATCACAAGTCTCTTCCACTTTGCCGTGAAGCCCATTTTGCTCATAACCCCTTCCAGGAAATGCCACTCAACTCTGTCATATGCTTTAGCCATGTCGATCTTAGCTGCGAAATATCCCTGCCCCCTCTGCTTCTTCTGCTTCATAGAGTGGAAGCATTCGAACGCCGTCATGATGTTATCGGTTATAAATCTGCCCGGGACGGAAGCACTTTGCTCCGGGGATATTATTTGGTCTAAAACATTCTTCATCCTGTTTGCAAGAACTTTGGAGACCAGCTTATAGATCATATTACATAGGCTTATAGGCCGAAATTCCTTGGGTGAAATAGGGTCTTTCACTTTCGGAATCAAGGCAATAAGCATATGGTTAAGCTGGTCCGGCATTACCTCCTTTTCCAAGATCTCCAACACCTTTGTTGTAACATCCTCGCTACAATATGCCAGTAGCGGCCAAAAAAAAGGACCGACATCCCGTCCACACCTGGGGCCTTCCTTTTTCCCATCTGCTTCAAAGCCTCAAAGATTTCGGATTTATCAAACGGTCGGTCAAGCATCTCATTCTGCTCCGGAGATATCGCCCGTTTTATTGAATCACTAACTAGAGTAGTCGACGGCCGAGGACCTGCTGTAAACAACAGTGTAAAGTAATCTGTTGGACACTGGAAGAGCTGATCCCGCACTATCCGCCAGTTGCCCGCTTCATCCTTTAGATTCTTTATTGTGTTTCTTCTCCTTCGATCCGTCGACTACTGGTGGAAAAAATTGGTGTTGAGGTCGCCTCCCTTCAACCAGTCTGCGCGGGATCGCTGTTGCTAGTGCATTTCTTCATTCCTTTCGACTTCGTCCATCTCTGCCTCAAGCTGGGTCAGTTGGGCCACAATATCCAGCGTCCTCGGGGCACGTTCCAGCTTCTCCGTAGCTCTTCTGATTCGAACTTTCTGTCTGTCAAAATTTGGGAAAGCTCGTCTACTCCATTGATCTAACATTGACCTGCAAGACAGAAGTTTAGTTAGAGGATCCACTTGATTGGGGGGAAACTAGGGATGGCAAAAGTATCCGTAACCGTGGATATCCACCCGAATCCGACCTAATTGGGTAGGGTAAAACGAACCCGAAGCATTTTTCATGGGTACGGGTAAAACCCGAACCCGAATATTGCGGGTAATGGGTGGGCATGGTTATCTCACTATCGAACCCGCCCGATTATACACATGCATATGTATTTTGTCTAGAAATAATCATTATTTTTCTCTAGAATATTTTATATTTAGCATATAAATATAATATTTTCATGAAATTATGTTGTTTTAATTAATTTTCGTCATTCTAGTGATTTATTGTCGTATTTTTCCTCTTACGTAATTAGGGATGGCAAAAATATCTGTAACCGTGGATATCCGCCCGAATCCGACCTAATCGGGTAGGGTAAAACCCGAACCCGAAGAACTTTTAGTGGGTACGGGTAAAACCCGAACCCGAATATTGCGGGTAATGAGTGGGCACGGGTTTCTCACTATCCAACCCGAACCCGCCTGATTATACACATTCATATATATTTTGTCTAGAAATAATCATTATTTTTTCTAACATATTTAATATTTAGCATATAAATATAGTATTTTCATGAAATTGTATTGTGTTAATTAGTTTTCTTCATTCTAGTGAATTATTGTTGTATTTTTCCTCTTACATAATGTGAGAATATGCGAGAATGTTAACATATTGGTTGGAGTTATGAAGAAAAATTATTACCCATGGATAACCGTGGATACCCGAAACCCGAACGGGTATGGGCATGGTTTTGATTTTGTACCCGTTTCTTATGTGGGTAAGAGTATGGGTAAAACCCGAACTACTTTGGGTAGGGTAACGGATATGCACTATCCGAACCCAACCCGACCCATTGCCATCCCTAGGGGAAACGCTCCTTCCATTCTGTCGACGCTACAAACCTGTCAATTCTTTCCTCAATGAAATGGTCTCCCTCTCTTTTATTCGCCCAAGTATAGCGATAGCCCTGAAAACCCAGGTCAATTAGTCCTGAATCTGTTAAGCAATTCTGGAAATCCATCATCTCTTGCCCCACTGCATTTCGACCTCCCCTCTTTTCATAAGCTGATAAAACATGGTTGAAATTCCCACAGCAGAGCCACGGTCCAGTCCTTTGATTCGCCAGCTTTTCAATAAGTTCCCAAGTCCGCCATTTATCATGGCTTTCTGGCCATCCGTACACACCCGAGAACCTCCAAACTTCTCCATCTTCCTCTCTCACCTTAGCATCAATATGGTTCTTTGAGAGCGACATAACTGTAACCTCCATCCCCTCCTTTCACCAAATACTTACCCCTCCAGCTCGTCCTCCCCATGATCTATCAGTAGCCCAACTATCCCCTTCTTTATAACCCAGCTCCAGCCTTGTTAATTCATTTTCATCTTTTGTTTGCTTAGTTTCCATTAAGAAAACTAAGTCTGGGGAGATTCGTCTTAACAACGAACCCAGTGCTTAAACTACTCGCTTCTTCCCCAACCCACGGCAGTTATAGCTGAGTATCTTCATTTATTATCCGAAGGGGATCGGTTCCCCGCACCATTCTTATTCAGGCCCTGCATTACTGGTGTGGCTTTCGTATTCACATTCTTATCATTCTGGGCAGCGGTAGAGGTAGGTTTATGCGCTGCTGCCTTGGTGAATGTACCACCACTCGCTTTTCCTGTCTCTTTCTTCACCCGGTTCCCATCCACTTCCTCCTCCACTGTGTTATCCCTAATTCTGTCCTTGGGGTTGGGTTGGTCAAACCCGCCAATTTTCAGGTTACTCTTCTTTCCGCTATTGTCATTCATTCCTTGACTCTTCTTGTTCCCGTCATTTTGTTTATTTGTATCACCAACAGTTTGCTTTGTGCTTTTAGTTCCTGCTTCCCCTGCTCTTTCACTCGTGGCTTCCTTCCTTTCTATTGATTGTTTGACGTGTGAATGACCATGCACCACGTGGGCCTCTTCTCCAAGAGTGGCAAATCTGTTGCCTTTTTGTAAATAGTTCCTAGGTGCTTCTCCATGGTTCCCTCTCTGGCCTCCCCTACCTTGTGGCCTTCGATTCTTCCTTCTCACCGTCATCCAATCCCCATAAGCTTTACCTTTCGATGGGTCATTTTCTTGTTGTGTTTCTTCCACCATTTCTACCTCAGCCATAGGGCTCACGGGGGTCGGGTTTCGGCATGGGCATTGGGCGGACCGATTTCCATAAGACCCACATTGGTCACAGATGTTTTCCAAACCTTCATAGCGAATCAAATATTTCTTTCATTCGATGCTGTATTTTGCTAACAATGGTTAAGTCAGGTCTACCTCCACACAGACACGGGCAAACTTTGTTCTTGCCCCTAACTCCGTTGCCCTGTCCACACGGATTGGATTTCCGATACACTGAGCTATAATGAAAACAACTTCCCTATTGTAGAATTCCACAGGGAGGCCTGAAAGCTGAACCCATACCATTGTTCTTTTAACTTCTGCAGTCCAGGGGTTAAAACCTTTGAACCACCGGTGTACCGTTAGATAGGTGTCTCCTAGCAGCCATGGTCCCCCCATCGTTGCAAACTCATAGTCCTTTTGGCTTCTGAAACGAACCATAAAGCATCCATTCTCCATATCTGAAATCTGCAGGTCGCCATGGCGAGCCCACAACGAGTTTAGTCGCCGCGCTAGCGCCACATATGATATCTTTCGCCCCAAGCCTTGTACCACCAATGCAGACCTCCACTCTCTTCTCCATTTTATCTTTTGTGCTGTCGTATATAAGACCTGGGGACAGGTCGGGTCATAGTTTTCTTCATCCAGCACATCATCTTCCTCCTTCTCCCTTTGCGCCACATCTTCCGTATCAGAATCTTCTACATACCATCCTTCCTCCCTAACAACATCACTGAAGAGCTTGCCCGTCCTTCCATTCCATGCTCCTTCCCCTCCTTGCTTTCCCTGGCCATCGCCAGGGTTCCTTTACGTTTCCTACGCTTCCATGTCCGTTGTAACGTCTTCCTCTAGACCCACTGATTCCTTATCGAGGTTGAGTGCCTTAGCTCTTTTTTTGAGTTGGATAGCTTCCTTCGCACTCTTGCCATCTGGTGATGAGGAAACTATCGCTGGACGCCTTGCCCCCGCTGTCATCTCAGGAAGTTTGGCCGGTGACGTCAACTTGTTGGACGACGCCGTCATGAGAGCCAGGAAACCCTAATCGCCGATGTCACATTCTACTTTTCGCCGCTCCGAGAAAGTCGGAGCTTCTTATTTCGTTCGTGACATCTGCTTTGATTCTAACTTTCCATGATTTTTTATTCTTTTTATTTTTATCTTTAATGATTTTGAGTGTTGATTTTATGAGAAATATTACGTAAGACTTTTGTAATAATTTAATAATTTACGTAATTAGTTAAATGAGAAGAGTTACGCAAGGCTTTCGTAATGACTTAGCACTTTATGTAATGCAAGGTTAATACTCATTACATAAAGGGATCTTCCAATACGTAATTTTTCCGTAATGACATTTTACAACTGTTTCGTAAAATACACATCCATTATGTAAAGGTTACAAAGTGATAGTTATTCCTTATGTAATAGTTAAATCACAAGCATTACGTAAGGCTTCCGTAATGACTTAACACTTTATGTAACGCGAGGTTAATACTCATTACATAAAAGTACCTTCCATTACGTAAAGGTTAAGAATGACAGTCATGTCTTACGTAACAGTTTAATCAGAAGCGTTACGTTAGGCTTCTGTAATGACTTAGCACTTTACGTAACGCGAGATTAATACTCATTACGTAAAAGGAGCTTTCATTACGTAATGTTTCCGTAATGACATTTTACAACTGGTACACAAAATATACATACATTATATAAAGGTTACGAAAATATAGTTATTTCTTACGTAACACTTAAATCACAAGCATTACGTAAGGCTTCCGTAACGACTTAACACTTTACGTAACGCGAGGTTAATACTAATTACGTAAAAAGACCTTCATTACGTAAATATTAAGAATGACAGTTATTTCTTACGTAACAGTTAAATCAGAAGCGTTACGTATGGCTTCCGTAATGACTTTACACTTTACGTAATGCGATGTTGGTATTCATTACATAAAATAACCTTCTATTACATAAAGCTTCCGTAATGACATTTTACAACTGTTACATAAGATTACCATACGTTACGTAACCATTACGTTATACCCATTGTATTTTACGTAACGCGACCTGTGAAACCTACTATAGCAGGTAAAAAACTTTAAGTTACCTTACTTCAAGTTACCATAGGAAATCCCTATAATTATTAGTCTGAATTTTGCAATGTTGTTGATCATATTGTAGAGTGGATGCAATTTCACCTAGTCCAAAAATATAATGTATTTTTTAGCGTCTCTCACAATCACTTACTCATTTAGTGAAGGACGTGTTTTATGAAATTTTTAAAGAGAAGTTGGATGTTGAGGTGCCCGGGGTTGAAGATCTCGTTCTTTGGTTTTAAAAATAGAAGAGAAGAACAATGCAGAAAAAGTAAAATTATAGATTAGGGAGAAGAACAATGCGGGAGAATGATCCATGTCGTCTTTTGGATCGATCCAATCCCTATTTCTGACTCTGACTCGCTTTTTCTAACATTCTAATCAATGGCCAAGCGTAACCATAGATTAGGGAGTAGTATAGTGGCAGTCTTAATGTTAACCCAGAGACCCTAGATGTACTATTACTCGGTCAAATTTCTATTATTCATCAAAGCAGTTGTAGGGTCGTTTACTAAAGCTAAGTGAACAAAGCGAAGAAAGTTGATTATTTCATATGCAAGAAAGTTCACTCAAGTATGCATTCCCCTAGTTTATATTTAGGTGTTGTAATTCCCCTAACTTCAGTTCATTGATAGTTATACCACAAAAGGTCCAGTATTAGTTTGGAATCTTGACTAAACCGCGCAGACTAAGCCCTCTTAAACAAATCAGTCTGCGTGAAATTATCCTCAAATGAAAAGTCAATGCAAATAGACCTCATCTACAGGAATAGATTATAGTACAGAGTAATGAATCAATTTACTATTCATAAAATCGATTCAATACCTCCAAATAAGGTTGCTCGCTTAACCAAATTAGATATTCTCTCTCCTAAGTTAAAGTAATAATAATAAAAAATATGATCAAGACTCAATCAATTATGAAATAAGCTTAAATTGAACATGACCAATCTATCCAACAACCCAAGGGTTCATACAATCATTCTCCTAACATATGGAGCTCGGGTTCTTCTTCATATATATATATATATATAGAGAGAGAGAGAGAGAGAGAGGAAAACATGCTTGAAGTAGTCATGCTCATCAAGATGATGGTGATTTGCTATGGGATGTCAATCTGCATTCAAAGAGACGAAATCTGAGCTGAAATGGATATGGGAGTGCATCTCAACAATCTCTTTCTCAATTCTCCTCAATGGATCCCCACATGGCTATTTCCGTCCTCAGCGAGGTTTGCACTAGGTGGACCCGTTATTGGACCTTTTGTGTGCTATTTTACACCGAGGGATTTTCTGCTTTGTTTAACCAGGCTGTCCATTCTAACTTTCTGCATGGTCTTAAGATTCATCCCATTGCCCTGTGCTCTCACATTTTTTCTTTGCAGATGATTGCTACCTTTTCCTCCGTGGTTCAACTTCTGAATGCTACAACAAATGCAGTCAAAATCAGGCTTTGAAACTTAAAAACTTAGACCTTTTAAATTTTAAGTCGCCAAAATGTTTTTACGTAAAATCACACTTCTTACTAATTTCAATTGTAGTCAAAATCTACGCTTTAAAGCTTAAAGCATACAAATTTAATTTACGCTTTTAGTTCACCATAGCGCTTCTACGTAGAATTGTGTCTTTGATTGCATTGGCCACAACCTTACTTCACTCTTCACCACCTATCAACAGATTAGCGGCTAGAATTTTTTAGGCTTTTCAAAGCAAGATACTTTCCTCTACATTGAGGACAACCTATTTCTACGACTTCAACGGTGGAAGTCCCAACCATGCCATTGGTCGCCGTGGAAACAGTCCTCAAATCGGTTGCTTTTGCCTCCCTAATGTACGCTATGTCCAAATCGGTTGCTTTTACCTTTTGCAATACACTCAATGATCATCTAGCTCGCTTTTGGTGGGGCCAACAAGATCTTGAAAGTGGGATGAAATTGGCTTCTTGGTGAATTTGTGTCGGGCAAAGACAGCGGGTGGGCTTGGATTTTGTGACATAGACAGCAACAACATTGCCCTATTAGCCAAGCAAGGGTGGAGGATTCTGCAAAACCCGGATGGCTTACTTGCAACAGCTTACAAGCGTCATTACTTTTCTCGCTCTTCCTTCCTTCATGCTCCACAAGGCTCTCGTCCCTCAAGGGCTTGGCAAGGAATCGATGAAGGACGACATTTTCTTCTCCACAAACTACGATGCCAGATTGGATATGGTACTTTGGTCTTCACAGAGGATAATTGGATGCCCACGACTTGTCCCTCGTGCCGCACGCTGCTACCAAATTCGGTGTCACCTGCTCCTCGTGTATCTTTTCTAATCGATCAGTCCACTAGCTCTTGGAAGGTACATTTCTTTACTCCCTCTTTGATGCTGATACAATACACATTATCCGAAGTATACCTTTATCCATTTTCCCCACAACAGACAGACTTGTATGGCATTACTAACCCTCGGATGAATATACAGTCAAATCAGGATTGGAAATTCTGCTGGTCACTACCAGTCCCTCAGAAACTCATATTTTTCATGTGGCATTTGATTAAAGGCTTCCTGCATTTGAAGGCTGTTCTTCGGGACAAAGAACTAATTGATGATGATGGAGAAGCTATTTTATGTCCCATCTGTTGTGCTGCTCCTAAGACCTTTTCTCAAGCTTTTCTTAATTGTCGTTTTGCAATTCATTTGTGGTCTTTGGTTGGATATACTAACTTACGGTTGCAGATTGCTGATTTCCACATAGCAGTAGGTTGCAGTTTGATATTTTTTATGCAGGGCTTCCCAAGACTAGAATTAATTGTCTTGTCTTCATGTACTAACACTTCTGAAGTCCCGCTGCGCATCAGCCTATGAGGGAATTCATTTTCTTCCAGCTACTCTATTACGTGACATTCCAGGAATTTGAATGGACGTAAGCTCAAGCTGCAGCTTCTCAATCTCACATCACAAAGGTCCCCCCCTTCTCCCTCTAGTAGCCTCGGACCACCTCCCATCCCCCATGGAGTTGTTCTCGTCCACTTTGATGGAGCAACAATGGCGTCTGTGGGTGGTGTTATTGGTTTCATAGGCCTTTCTGGCGATCGATCTATTGACTTTGCTTTTTTTTCGATTCTACAACTTATTTCATACTCTTTTCTCATTGAGCTCCTTGCTCTGAGGGGCTCCCTCCGATGGTGCATTTCTCATTCAGTTTCTAATATATTATTAAGTGATGATGCGCAGGTGATCATTCGGATGATCAATGCGATGGACTCGGCGCACGCTTTAGGTGGCTCTCTTTTATATGAAGTTGATGTGCTTCAGTCATCTTTCGAGTGTGTCTAATTTCACTTCTCTCCGTGTAGGTTTAATAGGGCTGCCCATATCGTTACAAAACAAGTCCTCTCATCGTTGGATGGCTTTTGGCTTTATTAGCACCTCTTATTTCTATTTTGTAATTAGAGTTGCAAAAATCATATATATATATATATATATATATATATATATATATATATATATGGTGGCGTCTTCAGTACACTCACTTTTTTGGGTGCATTCAGTGCACTCACTTCATAACCGTCATTTTAAACATGCGATTTATGTCAAAATGATATCAAT